AACGACAACAACACCTCTGAAACATACATCGGACTCACAGAAACCGACTTCAAAACAAGACACAGAAATCACACCGCATCATTCCGCCACGCCAAGCACAAAAACTCTACCGAACTTAGCAAACACATCTGGACACTCAAGAACGACAACATTGACTATTCTATCTCATGGCGCATCTTATCATCTAACTCTCCCTACAACAGCTCCAATAAAAGATGCAACCTCTGCCTAAAAGAAAAATTCCTGATAATTTACCGACCCGACCTCTCATCACTAAATAAGCGTAACGAACTCGTATCTTCATGCCGACACAGAAACAAAGCGTTGCTACGCAACAACTGAACTTTAAAGTTTTTAAGTTTACCGCGCATTATGCAAATTTTCCTAGTATATAAACGATAGTCACATGAATATTCTTTCATTAAACCCCTGAAGAGTGAAGCGATTCACGAAACAGGCTTGTCGGGAAATGTAGTTACGTCCTTTTTTCCTCTCACAATATTTATTCTGCTCTGCTTCAACGTATTGAGCACTGTTCCACGCGAAAATCGACTTGCAGACTTCCTATATATATATATATATATACCCTACCATTTACTGAGGTTTGGACTGTGAATCCTTTTGGATCCTTCTGGCGCGGCGTCACTGTTGGCTCGAGGCCTTTTAACTTGTTAGTTATATATATACAGGCCACACTCGCAAATCTTTACGTTACAACTTTTTTATCAATAATAATACTTCGGAGATGAAGGAAAGCACTATATATATAAATATTTCCTTTCGAACAGGCACAACCGCTAGTGTTGTAGGACATGAATAATTAAGATCTGCATTTACATGTACCTTTGTTTCTGTCAAAGGTTTGGCGGTTTTAATCCAGTGCAAGAAGTTCCAAAATCAGCTGGAAAAGTGCTTCGGATTTTATTTACCGCACTAGATGGCAGAGCGACCCTGACATTCTTGCCGAGATAACCCCAGCGAGCCAGCTGTCTGTAGGCAATTTAGTGAAATTTCCTCCCAGGAGAGAGAAAAATAACTAGCTCTAGCACTGTGTTATTTAATCAATAGCACAAACAACTCCAGAAAATCGATCTCAAAAACAGATTAAAGAAACATTTCGCTTACTCGCTTTGGGTGTGATTATCTGTACCGTATTGCTGCCTGTACGCGTAATAGGCCGTCTCCAGCACCCAGATATCGAGGCAGGTTGACTGAAAACCTGGATACTCAGTAATACAAGTCATTTGGCTTTCAGGCCTTTGTTCCTCCACTTTTTGCCACACTTGCCCGATTTCCGCACAACAGTTTCATGTGTTGTCGGCATTGGCTGACAAGCTCCACGCTCGAACCTTTGACAATTTTATATAACACACCCACGGGCGCTCAAGTTAAAAAACTTCTGTTGCATTCTTTTAGATTGGAAACTTGCTTTATTAAGTTTTCATGTCAAAAACTAATAAATTACACAATGAATTAAATACAGTCTGTGTTTCCGAGACAATCGGCATCGCCGTCAACCGGTTCTGTGCTGTCTTCGTGCGGATCGTTTGGTGAACTCTACGCGGCTCATGTTGATAAGGACGTGGCCCAGACTCTCCTAAAGGTTCTGAGTTATCCCCATCGTTGTCATATAAGTTTAAGGCATTCGAGTCGCTTCCCTCTGACAAAACATCGTCCGAACTACTGCTACTTGAACGAGCTGCCATACCAATGCTACTGTGAAGCCCGTGTTGCGCAATTTTAGTTCCACCGCTTACGTCACGACCTCTCTCTATCGTTTTCACCGGAAGTGGAATTTCAGTATAAAATGCCGATTTTCTCCTTAAATAAGTCGAATTGGGAAAAATCAATTGCAGATTCGTTTTCTATGACACTTTTTACATGGAATAAGAAAAACATGTATTCTTGGGTTTACAGGCCCTTTAAGTAAATAAAAAAATTAGAGCTGCCGCTTGGGCAAAAATGTTCTCCTGTTTATCTTTTGACATATTCCGCTTGCTGCTGGACAGTAGCACTGTTCGCCGTCTCAGAGCAGCCAATATTTGTTTGTAAATATCCGAGCATGTTTTTAGATACCAAGTTTCATTCTAGACTGATTTGGCTTGAGAGGGCCAGTAGGCCCCCTTCTTTAATTTCAGGAGTGGAGCGGGCGCCTTTTTCAAGCCCAAGGAACGGATACCTCAAAAGGTGTTTGAACGAATTTGTCAAGTCCGGGAGGTGAGGAAATGAAGAAGAGGAAGGCAATTTAGAGCTGCGCTAGAGGGTAGAGGATGCAAAGTT